ATTTTCCCCATTTTTCATCCCATTTTTTTTCCCATTTTTCCCCCAATTTTTCCCATTTTTTCCCCATTTTCCCCATTTTTCATCCCATTTTTTTTTCCCATTTTCCCCCAATTTTTCTCATTTTTTCCCCATTTTCCCCATTTTTTTATCCCATTTTTTTTCCCATTTTTCCCCCCAATTTTTCCCATTTTTTCCCCATTTTCCCCATTTTTCATCCCATTTTTTTCCCATTTTTCCCCCAATTTTTCTCATTTTTTCCCCATTTTTCCCATTTTTCATCCCATTTTTTATCCCATTTTTTTTCCCATTTTTCCCCAATTTTTCCCATTTTTTCCCCATTTTCCCCATTTTTCATCCCATTTTTTCCCATTTTTCCCCCAATTTTTCTATTTTTCATCCCATTTTTTCCCATTTTTTCCCATTTTTTATCCCATTTTTTCCCCATTTTCCCCCATTTTTCCCCCCAATTTTTCCCATTTTCCCCCATTTTTCCCCCAAAACCCCAAATTTTCCCTTTTTCCCCCAAAGTGAGCTCATCCGGGCGTAGAAAGCGTAAATCGATTTATTTCCATTTTCTCTATTTACAAATCCGGCCGGCGCGGCACCAAACCACCAAAACCGCCCAAATTTCACCCAAAATCCCCTTTGGTTTTGGGGCAAAATTCGCTTTTTTTGGGAAAAATCCTTTGGGGGAAAATTCCTCCTTTTTTAGGGAAAAAAATCCGAATTTTCGAGGTAAAAATTCCAAATATTTTGGAAAAAAACTCTTCCTTTTTTTGGCAAAAAAATCCAAATTTTGAGGGTAAAAATTCAATTTTTGGGGGCAAAAAATTTCCTTTTTTTGGGAAAAAAATCCAAATTTTGGGGGTAAAAATTCAATTTTTTGGTGAAAATTTCTCCTTTTTTCAGGAAAAAAATGCGAATTTTGGGGACAAAAATTCAATTTTTTTTGGAAAAAATTAAAAATATTTTGGTAAAAATTCCTCATTTTTTAGGGAAAAAAATCTGAATTTTTGAGGTAAAAATTCAATTTTTTGGCAAAAAATTCCTCGTTTCTTGGGGAAAAAATCCAAATTTTGGGGGCAAAAATGCAATTTTTTTTTTAAATTAAAACAATTTTGGTTAAAATTCCTCCATTTTTAGAAAAAAAAAATCTGAATTTTAGAGGTAAAAATTCAATTTTTTTTGCAAAAAAAAATAATCCTTTTTTTTGGGAAAAAATCTGAATTTTGGGGGCAAAAATTCCAAATATTTTGGTTAAAAATTCTTCTATTTTGGGAAAAAAATTCGAATTTTGAGGGTAAAAAGTCAAAATTTTTTGTTTGTAAAATATTCTTCTTTTCTTGGGAAAAAAAATCTTAATTTTAGGGATAAAAATTCCATTTTTTGGCAAAACTTTTCCTTTTTTTGGGGCAAAAAATCCGAATTTTGGGGGGTAAAAATTCCTCCTTTTTTTGGGGAAAAAAACTCCAAATTTTGAGGGTAAAATTTCAAATTTTTTGGCAAAAATTTTCCTTTTTTTGGAAAAAAAATCCCAATTTTTGGGGGGAAAATTCAATTTTTTGGGGCAAAAATTCTCCTTTTTTGGGAAAAAAAAAAAACAAATTTTGGGGGTAAAAATTCAAATTTTTTGGCAAAAATTTTCCTTTTTTAGGGAAACAAATCGAATTTTGGGGGTAAAAATTCCAAATATTTTGGTAAAAAATTCTCCTTTTTTGGGGAAAAAAAAAAGCGAATTTTGGGGGCAAAAATTCAAATTTTTTGCCACAACTCCTTTTTTTCTGCAAAAATTCCATTTTTTAGACTAAAAAAATCTCAATTTTTATCTTTGACTAAACAAACCTCATTTTTTTGGACCAAAAATCCCATTTTTTTGGACCAAAAATCCCAATTTTTTTCCACACAAAAATCTCTTTTTTTTCCCCTAAAAATCCCATTTTTTCCCCCTAAAAATCCCATTTTTTGACCCAAAATTCCCATTTTTGGGGCCGACCCCTCCAACGGCGACTCCGGAGATTTCGGAAATTTCGGAAATTTTGGAAATTTTGCAGCTTTTTTGAGTTTTTTTGGGAGATTTTCGGAATTTTTCGCGACTTTTGACCATTTTGGTGCTTTTTTTGTTGATTTTTTCAGAATTTTTGAAGATTTTCGACACTTTTGGAGTTTTTCGTGAATTTTTTGGTTCGTTTTTTTCGGATTTTTTGGCGCTTTTTTTGGGCGATTTTGGAGCTTTTTGGTCGATTTTTTTTGGTCGATTTTTTCCGATTTTTTGGAGCCTTTGGACGATTTTGGAGCTTTTTTTTGGTGATTTTTTGGATGATTTTGGAGCTTTTTTTGTCAATTTTGGAGCTTTTTTTTGGCGATTTTTTCTTTGTCGATTTTTCCACATTTTTTGGAACTTTTTGGAGCTTTTCCTGGACATTTTTTCGGATTTTTTGGAGATTTTTGACGATTTTGGACCTTTTTTTGGCACTTTTTTGACGATTTTTTTGTTGATTTTTGAAGATTTTGGTGATTTTTGGAGCTTTTTTTGGCGATTTTTTTGGCGATTTTTTTGTTGATTTTTTCAGAATTTTTGGAGCTTTTTTTGGTGATTTTGGGGTTATTTTTGGAGCTTTTTTTTGGCCTTTTTTTTCCCATTTTTTGGAGCTTTTTTTGGCCATTTTTTTCACATTTTTTGGAGATTTTTGACGATTTTGGCGCTTTTTCTTGGCGGTTTTTTTGGCGATTTTTTCCAATTTTTTTGAGATTTTTTCGACGATTTTGGAGAATTTTTTTGTTGATTTTGGAGCTTTTTTTTGGAGCTTTTTTTTGGAGCTTTTTTTGTAGATTTTTCCGGATTTTTTGGAGATTTTTGACGATTTTGGCACTTTTTTTTTGTGGTTTTTTTGGCGATTTTGGATAAATTTTTTGGCGATTTTGGAGCTTTTTTTGGAGTTTTTTTTTTGTAGATTTTTCCGGAGATTTTTGTCGATTTTGGCACTTTTTTCTGAGCTTTTTTTTTTTTAGACTTTTCCCAGATTTTTTGGAGATTTTTGACGATTTTGAAGCTTTTTTTGAGCTTTTTTTTGGTGATATTTTGTCGATTTTTCCAGATTTTTCGGAACTTTTTTTGGACGATTTTGGTGCTTTTTTTGGGCGCTTTTTTTGGAGCTTTTCTTGTCGATTTTTTTCAGAATTTTTGCCGCTTTTTTGGCGATTTTGAAGAAATTCTTTTGGCTATTTTGGAGCTTTTTGGGAGCTTTTTATTGGATTTTTTTTGAGATTTTTGACGATTTTTGGTGCTTTTTTTGGTGCTTTTTTTGGCGATTTTTTCACATTTTTTGGAGCTTTTTTTGGCGATTTTGGCGGGTTTTTGGTCGATTTTTTTTCCAATTTTTTTGGAGCTTTTTTTGTTGATTTTTTCCGATTTTTCAGAGCTTTTTTTGTCGATTTTTTTCACATTTTTTGGAGCTTTTTTCGTCGATTTTTTGGAGCTTTTTTCGTCGATTTTTTCCGATTTTTCGGAGCTTTTTTTGTCAATTTTTTCACATTTTTTGGAGCTTTTTTTGGCAATTTTGGTGGGTTTTTTTTGTCAATTTTTTCCGATTTTTCGGAGCTTTTTTTGTCGATATTTTCTGATTTTTTTGATGCTTTTTTTGGCGATTTTTTCACATTTTTTGGAGCTTTTTTTGGTGATTTTGGCGGGTTTTTTGTCGATTTTTTCAGATTTTTCTGAGCTTTTTTTGTCGATTTTTTTCACATTTTTTGGAGTTTTTTGGTCGATTTTTTCACATTTTTTGGAGTTTTTTGGTGGCTTTTTCGGAATTTTTGGAGTTTTTTGTCGCTTTCGTCGCTCTGGGGTCGGAGCCGCGGCCGGAGCAGAAAATTTAATTTTGGCGGCGCCGGGCCGGGAGGCGGGGCCGGAACGCTGCGGGAAATACAACCAACATCGGCCCCGGGAATGGAAAATAAAAATATAAATATAAAATATAAAATATAAATAAAATAGAGAAAATACAACCAACATCGGCCCCGGGAAAAGGAAATAAAAATATAAATATAAAATATAAATATAGAAATACAACCAACATCGGCCCCGGGAATGCAAAATTAAATATAAAATATAAAATATTAAATATAAATATAAATATAAATCAAATAGAGAAAATACAACCAACATCGGCCCCGGGAAAAGGAAAAATTAAATATAAAATATAAATATAAAATAGAGAAAATACAACCAACATCGGCCCCGGGACACGGAAAAATTAAATTAAATTAAATATAAAATATAAAATATAAAATATAGAAAATACAACCAACATCGGCCCCGGGAATGGAAAATAAAAATATAAATATAAAATATAAATATAGAAATACAACCAACATCGGCCACGGGAAAAGGAAAATTAAATATAAAATATAAAAATATAAATATAAATATAAATATAAATCAAATAGAGAAAATGCAACCAACATCGGCCCCGGGACATGGAAAATAAATAAAAATATAAATATAAAATAGAGAAAATACAACCAACATCGGCCCCGGGACATGGAAAAATTAAATATAAAATATAAAATATAAATATAGAAAATACAACCAACATCGGCCCCGGGACATGGAAAATAAATAAAAATATAAAATATAAAATAGAGAAAATACAACTAACATCGGCCCCGGGACATGGAAATAAAAATATAAATATAAAATATAAAATATAAAATAGAGAAAATACAACCAACATCGGCCCCGGGAAAAGGAAATAAAAATATAAATATAAATATAGAAAATACAACCAACATCGGCCCCGGGACACGGAAAATAAATATAAATATAAATATAAATATAAATAAAATAGAGAAAATACAACCAACATCGGCCCCGGGACATGGAAAAATTAAATATAAAATATAAAATATAAAATATAAAATATAGAAAATACAACCAACATCGGCCCTGGGAATGGAAATAAATTAAATATAAAATATAAAATATAAATATAAATAAAATAGAGAAAATACAACCAACATCGGCCCCGGGACATGGAAAAATTAAATATAAATATAAATATAAATATAAATATAAATATAAATATAAATATAAATTAAATATAAAAAATACAACCAACATCGGCCCTGGGAATGGAAATAAATTAAATATAAAATATAAATATAAATATAGAAAATACAACCAACATCGGCCCCGGGACACGGAAAATAAATAAAAATATAAAATATAAAATAGAGAAAATACAACTAACATCGGCCCCGGGACACGGAAAATAAATTAAATATAAAATATAAAATATAAAATAGAGAAAATACAACCAACATCGGCCCCGGGAAAAGGAAATAAAAATATAAAATATAAAATATAAATATAAAATATAAAATATAAAATATAAATAAAATAGAGAAAATACAACCAACATCGGCCATGGGAAACGGAAAATAAATTAAAATATAAATATAAAATATAAAATATAGAAAATACAACCAACATCGGCCCCGGGGAACGGAAAATATAAATATAAATATAAATAAAAATAAAATATAGAAAAGACAACCAACATCGGCCCCGGGGAACGGAAATTAAATAAAAATAAAAATATAAAAGAATAGAAAATATAGAAAATACAACCAAAATGGGCTCCAGGGAAGGGAAATTAAATAAAATAAAATTATAAATATAAAAAATAAAATAGAAAATACAACCAAAATGGGCCGGAGGGAAGGGAAATTAAATAAAATAAAATATAAATAGAAAATAATAAATAGAAAATACAAACAAAAGTGGGGGAGGGAAGGGGGAAATGAAAAATACAAAATAAGAAATAAAAAATAAAAAATATAAAATATAAAATTAATAAAAATAAAAATATGAAATTTAAAATATAAAATAATATAAAATAATATAAAATTTAAACTATAAAATAAAGAATAGAAAATAATGTGGGGTGAAAAGTACAGAATAATGAGGGGAAAAAATTAAAAAAATACAAAATAAATTGGGGAGGCAAAGGGGGAATATATAAAATATAAAATATAAATAATATAAAATATAAAATTAGAGTAAAATGGAAATAAAAAGGAAATATAATGGGAATAAAAGGGGAATAAATTGGAAATAAAATGGGAATTAAAGGGAAATTAAATGGAAATATAAGGGAAATAAAACGGGAATAACATGGAAATAAAAAGGAAATAAAATGGAAATAAAAGGGGAATTAAAGGGGAATTAAAGGGGAATAAAAAGGAAATAAAATAAAATGGAAATAAAAAGGGAAATAAAAGGAAATCAATAAAAAACTTTCAATAAAATAAAATTGTTGGCAGCGCCGCCCGGGGAAGGGAAAAAGGAAAATTTGGGTTAAAAAGCGAAAAATCCGAAATTTCCGAAATCGGCCGAAATCGGGAATTTTGAGAATTTGGGAATTTTGGGAATTTGATTTTTATTTCATTTATTTCAACATTAATTTTCCTTTTTTTAATTTGTATTTTATTTTCTTTTTATGGAGTTTTGATATTTTATTTTATTTTAATTAAATTTAATTTTTTATTTTATTTTAATTTTTTAAAAATTTTATTTATTTAATTAATTTAATTTTTTCTTATTTTTATTTTAATTTCTTTTTCTTTTTTAAATTTTATTTTATTTTATTTTATTGCATTTTATTTTATTTCACTTTATTTTAAATTATTTTAATGTCATTTTTATATATTAATTAAATTTTTATTTCTTTTCTTTTAATTTCATTTATTTTTTATTTCATTTATTTTCTTTTAATTTCATTTATTTCCTTTTAATTTCCTTTATTTTATTTTAATCACTTTAATTTTCCTTCATTTCTATTTCCTTATTTTCTATTTCTTAGTTGTCATTATTTTCTTATAATTTAATTAATTTTATTTATTATTTTAATTTAATTTTCATTAATTTTGCTTTATTTTAATTTGGTCTTTTATTGTAATTTCTTTTTATTTTATTTCATTTCATTTCTTTTAATTTCTTTTCACTTGAATTTTCCTTTATTTTTTATTTTTCTTTATTTTCTATTTTTGGATTTTCGTTATTCTTTAAAATTTATTTTAAATCTTTAAAGTTTAATTGAATTTTTCTTTTTAATTGAATTTTTCAAGTTTAATTTAATTTTTTAAAGTTTAATTGAATTATTTTATTTCATTCAGTTTTTAAAGTTTAATTTTTGAAATTTATTTTAATTTTTTAAAATTTAATTGAATTTTTAAAATTTAATTGAATTCTAATTGAATTTAATTATTTATATTTATTTGATTTATTTTCTTCTAATTTTTTCCTTTTAATTGAATTTATTTCCTTTTATTTTATTTAATTACATTTAATTTTTTTTATTTTATTTCCTTTCTTTCATTTATTCTTTTTAATTTTTAAAATTTTCTTTCATATTTTTCTCTTTTTAACTAATTTTTTTTTGTTGTGAAATTTTAATTTTTATTTGATTTTCATGGAGTGAAATTTTAATTTTTATTTGATTTCCATGCTTTAAAATTTTAATTTTTTGCATTTTAATTTTTAATTTTAATTGTAATTTTAATTGTATTTTGATGCTTTAAAATTTTAATTTTTAGCATTTTTATACCTCAAAATTTTAATTTTTATTTGCTATTCCGGCAGTGAAACGTTAATTTTAATTTCATTTTCATGCCGCAAAATTTTGATTTTAATTTGATTTTCCTCTTTCTTTCCAAAATCTCCAGGGAATTTTTAAATATTTTGGATTTTACTTTTTTTAAAAAAAAGTTAAAAAATTAAAATAAATATTAATTTTTTTTATTTAAAAATAATTTTAAATTTGAATTTTTTAATTTAATTTTTATTAATTTTTTAATTTATTTTTTAAATTTAATTTTTTAATTAATTTTTTTATTATCTTTAATTAAATCTTTTAAATTAAATTATTTAAAATTAATTTTTAAATTATTTTTTAAAATTAGACTTTAAAATTAATTTTTTGAGTTAATTTCTTTACATTACATTTTAAAAATTATTTTCTTAATTAAATATTTTTAATTAATTTTTTCCCGATTTTCTTTGGAATTTTGGTGAATTTTTTTCCCCAAATTTTTGACCTGGAGGGACCAAACCCGGCAGAAATCGCCCGAGGGACCAGAGGTGGCACCGAGGGACCCAAAGGTGACACCGAGGTGGCACCAAAAGGTGGCACCAAAGGTGGCACCAAATTGACCCAAAAGTGACAAAAAGTGACACAAAGTGACCCAAAGGTGACACCAAAGGTGACAAAAAGGGGACACAGAGGTGGCACCAAAGGGACCCAAAGGTGGCACCAAAGGTGGCACCAAAGGGACCAAAAAGTGACACAAAGGGACCCAAAGGTGACACCAAAGTGACCCAAAGGTGACACCAAGGTGACAAAAAGGTGACACCAAGGTGACACCAAAGGTGACACCAAAGTGACCAAAAAGTGTCCCAAAGGTGACACCAAAGGTGACACAGAGGTGGCACCAAAAGTGGCACCAAAGGTGACACCAAATTGACCCAAAAGTGACAAAAAGTGACCCAAAAGTGACACCAAAGGGACCCAAAGGTGACACAAAAGTGACCCAAAGGTGGCACCAAAGGTGACAAAAAGGGGACACAGAGGTGGCACCAAGGGACCCAAAGGTGACACCGAGGTGACACCAAAGTGACAAAAAGGGACCCAAAGGTGACACCAAGGTGGCACCAAAGGTGACACCAAAGTGACCCAAAAGTGACAAAAAGGGGACACAGAGGTGGCACCAAAGGGACCCAAAGGTGGCACCAAAAGGTGGCACCAAAGTGACCAAAAAGTGACCCAAAAGTGACACAAAAGTGACACCAAAGTGACAAAAAGGTGACACCAAGGTGACACCAAAGGTGACACCAAAAGAGACCCAAAGGTGACAAAAAGTGACCCAAATGTGACACAAAGGTGACACAAAGGTGGCACCAAGGTGGCACCAAAGGTGACAAAAAGGGGACACAGAGGTGGCACCAAAGGGACCTAAAAGTGGCACCAAAGTGACCCAAAGGTGACCTAAAAGTGACACAAAGGGACCCAGAGGTGGCACCAAGGGACCCAAAGGTGACAAAGGGACACAAAGGTGACACCAAAGTCACCAAAAAGTGACACAAAGTGACACAAAGGGGACACAAAGGTGGCACCAAAGGTGACACCAAAGTGACCCAAAAGTGACACAAAGGGACCCAAAAGTGACACAAAGGGACACAAAGGTGGCACCAAAGGTGACACCAAAGTGACAAAAAAGTGACCCAAAGGGACCCAAAGGTGACACCAAAGGGACACAAAAGGTGACACAAAGGTGACCCAATGGTGGCACAAAGGTGACCCAAAGGGGACACAGAGGTGGCACCAAAGTGACAACAAAGGTGACACCAAAGTGACCAAAAGTGACCCCAAAGTGACACCAAAGGTGACATCAATGTGATCCAAAGGGGACATCAAGGTGGCACAAAGGGGACACAGAGGTGGCACCAAAGTGACCCAAAAGTGACACCAAAGGGACCCAAAAGTGACACAAAGGTGTCACCAAAGTGACCCAAAAGGGGACCCAAAGTGACAGAAAAGTGACACAAAGGTGACACAAAGGTGGCACCAAAGTGACCTAAATGTGACACCAAAGGTGACACAAAGGGGACATCAAGGTGACATCAAAGGGACCCAAAGGTGGCACCAAAAGTGACACCAAAGGGACCCCAGGGGACCAAAAGGTGACACCAAGGTGACCCAAAAGTGACACAAAGGTGACACCAAAGTGACCCCAAAATGAACCCAAAGGTGGCACCAAAGGGACCCAAAGGTGACACAAAAGTGACACAAAAGCGACAAAAAGGGGACACCAAAAGGTGGCACCAAGGTGACACTAAAGTGACCCAAAGGTGACACCAAAGGGACCCAAAAGTGACCCAAAGGTGACACAGAGGTGACCCCAAAGTGACCCAGAAAGGGGACCCAAAGTGACAGAAAAGTGACACAAAGGTGACACCAAAGTGACCCCAGGGAACCAAAAGGTGGCACCAAGGTGACACTAAAGTGACCCCAAATGTGACACCAGGGTGACACCAGGGTGACAACAATGTGATGAAAAGGGGACACAGAGGTGGCACCAAAGTGACTCAAAAGGTGACACCAAAGGGACCCAAAAGTGACCCAAAGGTGACACCAAAAGTGGCACCGAAGGTGGCATCAAAGTGACACCAAAGTGACTAAAAGGGGACCCAAAAGTGACACCAAAGAGGACCCGAAGGTGACACCAAAGTGACCCAACAGTGACCCAAAGGTGGCACCAAAAGTGACCTAAAGGTGACCCCAAAGTGACCCCAGGGCACCAAAAGGTGGCACCAAGGTGACACTAAAGTGACCCAAAGGTGACACAAAGGGACCCAAAGGTGACACCAAAGTGACGCCAAATGTGGCCAAAAGGGGACCCCAAAAGTGACACCAAAGGTGACACAAAGGGGACCCAGAGGTGGCACCAAGGTATCACCAAAGTGACCCAAAGGTGACACCAATGGTGACCGCAGAGGTGACCCAAAGGTGACACAAAGGGACCCAAAGGTGACACCAAAGTGACCGAAAAGTGACACAAAGGTGCCCCCAAGCTGACCCCAAGGGTGACCATGAGGGTGACCCCAAAGGTGACCTTGAAGGTGACCTCAAGGGTGACCTCACGAGTGACCCCAAAGGTGATCATAAGGGTGACCATGAGGGTGACCCCAAAGGTGACCAAAAGGTGACCCCAAGGGTGACAACAAAGGTGACCATGCGGTTGAACCCAAAGGTGACCATGACGGTGACAACAAGGTGTCCCCAAGGTGCTCCAATGGTGCCCACGAGGGTGACCCTAAAAGTTGACCCCGAAGGTGCCCACAAGGTTGTGACCATGATGGCAACCCCAAAGATGCCCCCAAAAGTGACCTTGAAGGTGACCCCAAAGGAGCCCCAAAAGATGCCCCAAAGGTGACCATAAGGGTGACCATGAGGGTGACCCCAAAGGTGACCCTAAAAGTTGACCCCAAAGGTGTCTCCAAGGTGACCTGAAAGGGTGACCATGAGGATGACCCCAAAGGTGACCCCAAAAGTTGACCCCCAAGGTGCCCCCAAGGCTGTGACCATGATGGCAACTCCAAAAATTACCCCAAAGATGCCCCCAAAGGTGACCTTGAAGGTGACCCCAAAGGTGCCCCAAAAGGTGCCCCTAAG